CAAGCTGTCAAATTTTCTGCCTGTTACTTTTAACTTAAATAGCTTGTGGCTTGCAATGGTGTTCAGTAAATTCTATTTCTCACTATTTCAAATCTCCGACTAGTATAACTACATGGTATTGAATTAAAAATAAAATGAAAAAAAAAACAAAAAAAAACTTATTGCTTGCTCTCTATCAATGTCAACATTTTGTTAAGTGATGTGGTTTGCATGTGCTGCAGGCGAACACATGTAAATCAGTCGTGCAACATGCTCCAGAAATCTTCATGTATTTAACTTAGACAAAACTGAAAATGATCTCAAATGCTGAAACTTGAATATGTGCTTTTTTTTTTCTGTCTGTCTGTTTGGTGGCCATCATTTACTTAAAGTTTTTATATATATATATATATATATATATATATATATATATATATATATATATATATATTTTTTTTTGGGGTGAAATTCATGAGTCAGTAAATATTTGTGCAATATCATGTGTTGATTTATTGACCAATCACCTTTGAACCTCTTTTCTCTTGTGTTGGTTGTAAGAGGACCGTTAATATTTATTTTCTATTTTTTTTTTTTTTTTATCTCACCTAGTTTGATAGTTTTGCTGTATAACAAAAAAAAGAAGGAATTGAAAGAAAATGGCAGATTATTAAGAGACATCTGTCCTCCTGTACGGTATCAAATGCTGGACAATCTTCTCAAAGATAAAGAGATTTGAAGCAATAGAGCTTATGGTTGCATCACATCGAAACACTGGTTCTTGCAAGATCACTGGAGTTAAGCAACATCGAACCTGGTCAGTACTTATATGGGTGATTGTCTGGGAATACCAGGTGCTGTAAACTTGGATGTGCATGGGGTGTTATGTATAATAGCTCTGAATTGGAACTTGGAGTGTTGCTAAGCTGCAGAAAATGAATCGATTCAATCCTCAGAAATGTGGTTCTATAGCAAGATGCTGAGGATACCATGGACTGAACATGTGAGCAACGATGAAGTTTTAGAGAAAATGGAAACAAAAATGAAACTTACATTTAACATGAGGAATAAACTGTTGAAATTTCTGTGGCATGTGATAAGGAAGGAGGGCTTGGAAAATCTATTACTCACAGGACAGTGAGGGGGAGAGGAAATCTGTATAACATACTTGATGAGCTTGAGTAAATGGATGGTAGAACAGGATTTGGAAGAAATAACAAAAAGACAAAAACTTATTAAGATCTACAAGGAACAGGAAGATGTGGAGAGCCATGATAGCTTACATTCTGAAGGGACATGGCACATAAAAGAAATTTTTGTGAAAGTGCACATGCAGAAGATAGTTGTCTGTCATGGTTTGTAGCAATATTTAAAGGCAAGGAAAAGTTCATGCTAGATGATTTTTATTGCTTGCTCTGAGAAATATTGTATGTTCTAAATAGAAGATTTAAAACAATTTCAGGCATTTGTTAAATGGCCTCTGTTGTTTAAAGTAATTGCTCATTTTTGATTGGTCCCATTGGCTGCTTGATTGAGCCCAGTTAGAAATTAGAATTTTGAATGTCAACTTTTCAAGGTAGGCCATCCTCTTCCAGTTGGAGAGCTGAACACAGATCTACAGAGAAGATAATTGCATTTAAATCATCAGCAGCAGGGTGCTTAGCACCCCCTCTGGTTAAGTAGTCTAGTCCTGGAGCTGTATTTAAGTTCTGTTAGTTTTTGTATCTGTTATTACTCACATAACCTGAAAAAGTTAGATATTTCTATACATTTTTCAAATGATTTTTAAATCTAGATGTGGATGAGTTGACTACGGTTGACTTCTGTCGAACTCTCTGCTTTGGCAGAGAGGTACCCGGACGAAGCTTTGCCGTAGGGCAAAGTTTTGTCCGGGGAGGTAGACAGGCCTTGAATCCATCTAGGCGGGTTCAAAGGGTATATTTTTTTGGCCGAGCCTATGGGCTCGGAGAAACCCACATTAAACTCGGCCTTGTGCCACATTCAATTCTCATGGGGGGATCGTTAAATATTGTTATTACTCACATAGTTTTGGTAAATCTTCATGCATTGTATATACACATTGGGAGTAGATGTTATTTTTATATTCCTTCCACGCATACAAAAATTGTATATATGGGAACGAGTTAGGACTTCATGGACTAATTCTGGTATTTTGGCGACTGTAGCAAGAATGTGGTGTTATGGTAAATGAAACATTATCGAACAACTGGATCAATGATTGAAACTAGCAAAATTAAACATAGAACAGATGAAAACCAGTTTTGCCTGTCCACCTATTTCAGCCGTGTGCCAAATTTGATCTATATAAATCAATAAATATTGTTTTTCCCTTAGGACAGCAGGAGTCTGATACTTACTTGAGCAGTACAGAGAACTAACCATTTTTTTTTTCCAGCATCTTAGCTGACCGATCACATGTATGAGTTCCACAAAGTCTGGGTTGAGTTTAAGTTCCAATAGGTGCTCAAGGCATGGGTGCCTCCCTGAGGTAATGTCCATTCATTGTGATTGGTGGTAGTGGAATGTAACTAGTTTAGTTTTCAAAGCATTGAATGTAACCAGCTACTGAGATGTTAGAGCTAGGTCAGAGGAGAGGTCTTGAACTTCATAGAAAAATTGGGGTATTTTATGACTGTAGTAAGAATATGCAAGAATGTGGTGTTATGGTGAATGGAACATTATTGAATGAGTTGGTCAGTGATTAAGACTAGCTAAGCTTAACTTTGAACAGATGAAGACCATCCCCCCTCTCTCCCAAATTTGCCCATGTGCTGCACTTGATGTATATAAATCATCAATAAATATTGATTTTTGTATCAGGTGCCTGGTCAAGCCATGTCACTTTGAACAAGAAACTGCTGTTGCTATTCCCTTTCTTTTGGATTTTGTATTGACTCTTGCACTTGGTAGTAGAGTGTCGTTCCGAGCTGTGGACCTCTAGGTTATGAGCCAGTACACTTCTGCTGAACAACTTGGCTTCACCCTCAATAGCTGACTCCTCCTTTATAAGGTGTATCACACTTTCACTACCAGAAGTAGGCAATACTTTACCACTTTTGGTTAAAATTTTAACATTAAGATTGACTTAACAACGCAATAATTTTTTTCTTTGAAGCTGTTTGGAGCTCCAGCAAAAATTAAATGAAAGTGATGGAGTATTGCCTACCTCTGGTATTGAAAGTGCAATGAATCCAATAAAAGAGAAGCCAGTTGTTGGGGGTGAAGCATTTTACAGCAGACATAGTGGGTGGCTGATACAGAGCACATGGAGATTGGAAACCTTACTGAAATAGACGTGAAGGAAAAAACAATTCCAGAGGTTTAGATGGTAAAATTGTTTCATTTTTGGTTACCAGAAACATTGGGCTCGTAATTGCCCTTATGGTAATGGTAGGGAGAAGGGAGAGGAGCAGACAACAAGCACTACACAATTCAGTTTCTTCCTTTGATCTTGTGTTGGGCTTAAGTAAAGCCATTTCAATATATACTTTCAAAAACACTCCCTGTATAGCTCAAAATGTTTTTGTTATAGTTACATTAAAAATCCAAATTTAAAAAGATAGATGCTTCTGTCTAAGTCTTTTTTTTCTGGTTAATGTAAATTACTTTTATAGTAAGGGATTATTATTATTATTTTTTTTTTTTTTTTTCTTTTTTCCCATGTCGACAATATAGTTAAATTCCCATTTGATACCAATCTGTCTTGTCCACAGAATTCATCTGGGAATTTAACTATATTGTTGACATGGAAAAAAAAAAATAAAACAATAAATAATAATCCCTTACTATAAAGGTAATTTACATTAACCAGAAAAAAGGCTTAGACACAAGCATCTATCTTTTTAATTTTGAATTTTAATGTAACTATAACAACAAAAACATTTTGATTTCATTTTTGCCTTGAAAAAGTCGGAAGACGAAACGCGTCGGCAAATGTAAGATTTTTTTCCAATTGTCATTTGATACCATATATATATATATATATATATATGTATGTTAGACATCCAATTACTTCAAGCATGATTGAAACTCAACCGATTTGGTATCAGTCAGAGACTGTACCCCTAAGCTATTGCCATATGTCAGAGAAAAGTAGTCTTTTAATGTATTATTTACATGATGTACTTTAAGTACTTTTTCTGTTTAAGACCTGATTTCTTTTGGTCAGATGAATTTTGTACTTGGTGTATTCATAATCATTCACTGAATTACCTTTGCAATGCACAAAGTAATTTCTTGATTTAACAACAAAATAATAATGAAACCCGCTTGAATTTATTGACTGGTCATACACTGCATTTTTTCTTAAAGATGAATTGGAAAGAGAAACATTTAGAGGTCTCAAAATTTTAGATCAAAATATATATTTATATTATTCAGACTGTTGTCCTCATCTTTGTTACCCTATTGACATTTTGGCTGTTGTATACTCCTGCCTTCTTCAGGTGATTTGAATTTCAAAATTCCAATCACCTGAAGAAGGCAATAGTGTACAATGGCTGAAATGTCATGAAGATGAGGACAGCAGTGTAAATAGTGTAAATAATGACAATACCTCATCTCAGAAATATAGACAGATAACAAAATTTATGTCATTGAACTATGTTCTTTCTGTTTTGTCAATGATATAGCCATGATTTTTTATGTGTATATAGATGCAATTTGTTCTCAAATTATTTCAAATGTCATTCAAAAATATAGTTTTCCTTGCAAATATTAAATAACAAAGATTCTATTAATTGAAAATAATTTTTTTTTTCTTTTGTAGGTAAGTAACATGAACACTGGTATCCAAATCTGGTTTTATTATATCAACTTACTGGTAAGGTGACCTGTACTTTTTCTTTGTTTCATGATAGAATTATCATTGCTTTGATAAGGTGGTCCTCTCCAAAGATTAATATTAAAGGTTTCAATAGAAATTCTGTTTGTCTGAATTTCTGGCATGGGGAATTATTTTATTCACTCTGTGGGGGTAGATTGTTCGCATTCAACTGTTAGACTTACGGCCATATAGTGTTGAAACACCAGTTCCTATATGAACACCGATGTTAAGCAATGTTAAGTCTGGTCAGTACCTAGATGGTTGATCCCTTGGAAATCACAGGTGGTGTAAGCTTGGGTGTGTAGTGGATAATGGCTCATTATAATCAGATGGCCAAGTTCCGATTTCAGTTAGGTTCTTTGTTTACTTACACCCAAATACTCTTTGGAAAGGCATGAATCCACCTCTTCTCTCCCGAGCTATAACTTAATGAGTAAGACTTGTATCATGAAGTCATTATCTCAAAAAAAAAAAAAAAAAAAAAAAAAAAAAAAATTTTATTTTTTTATTTTCTGGCTTTAAATAAACTGCAAAGCGTTGATAAGCCATAGAAAATGAATGGATCATTCCACTGTCCCTGTCAAGGGAAATCTCATCTTTAATTGTTCTGTTCTTGTTTGTCTTCCTTTCTCCGAGACTATCTCTTCTACCTGGCCCAGGGACTGAACTAATTGTTATATTACCATATTCACTGACAATTTTTTTTTTCTATTTATTAAATCCTTTCACTTTAGTCAATAAAGCCACTAAGATGTATGGATTACTGAGTGAAAGAGCCTGAGAGAAAAAAAACTTTATTAAGGAGAGAGGACAATAAAACAGCAGGATTCAAGGAGACAAAAGATAACAATTGCCGTTGCATTTACATTTTTGTAGACCAAAGTTGATTTGGAAACAAGAATCCTGAAGAGAGTTCCACAAATGAGAAGTGTGAGAGAAGAAACTGTTAGCATAGAACTTGGGGTTAGATCTAGCCATTTCAATTGTAAAATCATGAGATCTATCTGCCAATCTAGTACTGTGCTTAAATTCATAAAATTGAGGTACCATAGAGGAAAGTTCATCTGAACAATTACCATGAGGCCTTAATCAATAAGGTCATCAAGCACCTGGATAAGAACCACCTCTTGTGCAGCAAGTAGTATGAGTTTAAGTTAGCCCAATCCATTGCTACAATCTTAATCTGTTTAAGTCTAGAGTCAATTGTTATCTTCCCCCTCCTATCCATATAAACTACCCCTTATAACTTGATAGCATCATAGCTGGACTTCAACATTTCTGACAGTTTTCTACAATTGTTACAGGTGGCTCGTGAAGGCTGAACAAGACTGGTGAGTGTTAACTAATAGGAAACCATCCTCTCTCTCATGGAAAGTGGAATGAGAACTATTTCACCCCATGAACTGAATAAAGGGTTCCGTTTCATTTTGAGGTTACCAAGTATGATAACATATACTTGACAAAGAATGGATGGTATAATGACTGAAATGTTGAAAGTATAACTATCAGAATGAGTATTCTGATTGGAATAGCAAAGCATATGATAATTTTTCATCTAAAAAAAAAAAATTCCGACAAAAATTAGCATTACGTAATTCTTATTTATTGTAATTTAAAAAAAATTATTTTTTATTCATTTGTTTCTAATTTTCATTTATTTATTTTGAGTGTTTACTTATTGGTAACTTGATTTAGACCAGTATTTAATTTTTGTACAAGTTTCTTAAATTTTTTCTGCATGGGTCTAATTAAAGGACATTTCAATGTAACTAAACTCTTAGAATTCTTGAAGGCAGTATAAAATAACATATTTGGTAGGTTTCATTTCATGTTTTTCTCTCTTTCTAATTAAGCCATACAGTAATGAAGTTGCATAAAATGTAATCGAATTTGAGTGCAGCTGTTCATAAAAAAAAAAAAAAACGCAAAAAACTGTAGCTTTGATTCTTTTGGGTCAAGATTAATTTTAACAACAGATAAAAGGCATTGTGGAGTAATGGATAGCAGCTCGGATTGAGGCATCTCAGAGCCGAGTTTGAATTCTAGTTGAATCTGTTATATTCACTTATGGGCTGATACCCTTAGGAAAGGTATATATCCTCTTCATCTCCTCCCCACTAGCTATGGGTAAATAGCAGGACAGACCAGGTTCTATAGCCTTGGGTGGCAACTAGTCTACCACAGAAAGAAATGGCAAACTACTGCGGAAAAAAAAATCTAACTCGTCAGTCATGTATTGAAAGATACACGATTGCTTACATGTGTATCATGCATGGGACATAACTGAAGAAAAATTTGGAACTGAAACTTAGACTGCAATGTTTGCATCTGTTTTGTCTGTAAAGGGATTCAATAAATCTCTTTGTTGAACTTAGCTTAAATTCTGATGATTGTATCTCCTGCCACTTTTATATTGATAGCTTTTTCAGAACTGCACGAACCCAATTTGTTTTATGCTTAACTTAGTCATTGGTGTGTCAGAATAACAGAAGGGCCAAGTTTCAATCTTCTATAATAAGGATTTGGTGTGCTCAACTAAATAGGAAATAACTTGATCGTAAGACAAAACTCAAACTAATTTCTCTCTTTACTAACTCACTGTCAAGTTAGAAATAAATGAGAAAATTTAGAAAATCATTAAATATTGTCAACCATTCTGAGATTAGTCATTAGTTTTCTTAATATTTTTTTTGTCTGTGGCTGAAATCAGTTAATATACTAACAAGGATTTGCATATTAAAATAAACACTACTTAGTGTTGGTTCTAATCCTCAGTGAATGACTGTCAAGAAAAATATCCCCTTCCCTAAATTTATGGACAAATCTGACAGATGCATTATAGGATTTCTGCTTAGTCAATAAAAATGGACAATTCTTGATCTTAACTTGAAGTCAAAAGGCTAAAAAATACTCGAATATATCACTTTTTGCATGTGACTAGTTTCTTGTTTACTGTCTTGAATTGCTTTACTCTACCATTGTCTCGCCGATCCTTGATTTTTGGGGCTGCCGGGCCGATCCTTGATTTTGCCGTCAGCCTCGCCGATCCTTGATTTTGCCGTCTGCCTCACGATCCTGACTTTGCCGTTGTCTCGCCGATCCTGATTTTTGACTTTGATCCTTGACTTTGCCGTCGTCTCGCCGATCCTTGACTTTGCCGTCGTCTCGCCGATCCTTGACTTTGCCGTCGTCTCGCCGATCCTTGACTTTGCCGTTGTCTCGCCGTGGCTTTTCCTTGTATTACATTGTTGTGTTTTACTTTGGAATTTTATCAATCACACTTAATTTTTCCACACGTAATAGAGGAAGAGTAGACAAGTTCAAACAACTCATGGAGCATTTGAAAAATAGTTCTTTCTATTTCTGTCCTGTTCGGAAAGCATTTTCTAAATTTAGCATTTTTTTTTATCTATCAAATACTCTCCCCCAAATATCTAGATAGTTTTTCAATATCTTAGGAAATATAAAATATTTAACTTTGGCAAATATGAAGGAGTGATGAAAAGTTTTCTACCTGATCAAGCCTCCATACCCACCTTCCAAATAATTAGGTTTCTGAGGTGGGTTGGCCTGAGAACTTTCACATATCTCTGTCATATAGGATGGCAGTGCAGTTGGTGTAATAGCAGATTAGAATGAAACCATAATGATTTGTGTTAGTTCACTTTTGCACTTTTTTTGTTTTTTACGATATGGTTTAGTAATACAAGTTTTAGTAATTAACCCGTGGATGGTGGTGGGGGAGAAGAGGTGGATTCATACCTTTCCCAAGGGTATTTTTTCATAAATGTGAATTGTAACAGGCTCTCCAATTTACAATTCTGAGACCATTATCCATTACACGCAAGCTTACAGCACCTGGTATTCCCAAGTAGTCACCCATCTAGATACTGACCAGGCTTGATATTGCTTAACTTCGGTGATTGTATGGGAACTGGTGTTTCAATGTGATTTGGCTGTATGACTCGACACTGTATAGTGAATGTCTCATACCTCAATGCAACCTTCAGACCATCTGAAGATCACACTGAGCACTTTTCCCTCCCCATAAATATAGCCAATTTTAAACACTATATAAGATACACACTCGTAGATATCAGTGGAACAAAGCAATTACTAATTATAAATTAATAAAAATTAATGAAAAATTTTAAATAATTAAAATGAGCTATAAAACGAAAAGCACTTTTAATCCTAATTAGAATAAAGGCATCATGAGCTGAACAGTTGAAATGTATTATCTTGGAAGCGAGTATATTGTAGATAAGCCAGTGAGTGAATTGCAAACATGATCAGGCTAATTTAATTCCAAGGAATGGTGGCAGATGAGGGAAGAAGGTTTTGCAACGGAGCAAGTCTTGTTGGCTTTAATCCAGCAACTATTGGTCTATTAGACAAGAGGCCTGCCTTCATCCATCTGGAAATAGATGATTGATATGATAATGCGAAGAGCGATATCAATAATGCTTCTTCCTCTTATTGAATTATTTGAAGACGGAGAAAGAAAAAGATTCCCAGAAAAAGATTGGGTTTATTTCACATTGAACGGCCTGCATGTTCTCTAAAGATGAATGGATTGGAAAGTGGTGGGGGTTTGGGGAATGAAAAAAATATCAATCCAGTCATATGAACTTTTCCAAATGTAGATGCTAAACAACAAATATTAAATTTTTTTTTTTTTTCTTTCATTATTTTTATCAAGAAATATGTATATAATCTACTGTGAACAAATGAAATATTTCAGTTTTTCTGTGGAAATAACTGAATTTAATAATTTAGAAAATTTTAAAATGCCTATCTTGTGCCCATTTCTGCATCCGAGATTCTTTTTAGATGTTTTTATTTACTTTTTTTTAATACAGGGTGTGGTAGAAATACCTCCAACATAATGGTAAGGCATGAATGGCCCTGGTGTCTTCCTCTTGCTAATGGCTTACCATTATGTGGGAGGTATTTCTGCCACACCCTGCTCTATCACATTTGAATGTCTTTGTTTAGTAGATTTTATACTTCATATTTATTTATTTTTTTTATTTATTTTTTTTTTTAAACTTTTTCTGCAATTTTTGCAGTAAAATCTTTTTACTGACTTAAATAACTTAAGTCAATAAAATAATATTTTGGACATGTGAATTTTTTTATTTGGTGCATGCAAAAGTTCTCAGTACTGTGTTTAAGATCTGGAGGCTGAATACACAAAAGTTTTTTATTTTTATTTATTTTTTTGTATATTTTTTTTATTTTATTTTTTGTATAATTTTATTTTATTTTTTTTTTTTTAATTTTATTTATTTTTTATTTATTAATTTTATATTTTTTTTTTGTATATTTTTTTATTTTATTTTTTTTATGTATAATTTTTTTATTTTTTTGTATTTTTTATTTATTTTTTATATTTTTTATTTATTTTTTTATATTTTATTTCTTTATTTTTATTTTATTTTTTATTTTATATTTTTATTTTTTTTATATTTTTATTTATTTTTTTATATTTTTATTTATTTATTTTTATATTTTTTTATTTATTTTTTTTGTATATTTTTATTCTGTTTTTTGTATATTTTTATTCTGTTTTTTGTATATTTTTATTCTGTTTTTTTATATTTTTATTCTGTTTTTTTTATATTTTTATTCTGTTTTTTTATTTTTTTCTGTTATTATTCATTTTTTTTCTGTTATTATTCATTTTTTTCTGTTTTATTTATCCATTTTTTGTTTTTTTTTTTGTTTTTCTTTTTATTTTTTCTTTCCGTCCATTTTTTTTTTTCCATTTTTTCTTTTTGTTTTTTCTTTTATTTTCTGTTTTTTTTTTTTTTTTTGTTTTTTTTTTCTTTTCTGTTTTTATTTATTTTTCTGTTTTTATTTATTTTTTCTGTTTTTATTTATTTTTCTGTTTTTTATTTATTTTTATTTTGTTTTTTATTTATTTTTTTCTGTTTTTTTATTTATTTTTTTTTATTTTTTATTTATTTTTTCTGTTTTTTATTTATTTTTTCTGTTTTTTATTTATTTTTTCTGTTATTTATTTTTTCTGTTTTTTATTTATTTTTTGTTTTTTATTTATTTTTTCTGTTTTTTTTATTTACTTTTATTTTTCTTTTCTGTTTTTATTTACTTTTTTAATTTACTTTTTTTTATTTACTTTTTTTTATTTACTTTTTTTTTATTTATTTACTTTTTTTTATTTACTTACTTTTTTTTATTTATAGCAAATTTTGTACCTATGTAATATATCCATTTTTCATAAAATGGATTGCTTGTGACATTTACCTAAAAGAGTAAACTTTCATGACATAACCTAAACAATGAGTATAATCCTGAAATATTTCTCTCCTCCTTCCTATTAATAGTTCTATGACTGTGGATGTAATTTTATAACTTTGGAACTTACATTGCCTGATGTCAACAGGTTTATATATATATATATATCTCAAAATGTATTTTCTGTTTATACATTATTTTCATAGATACAAATATTTAAGTAAATGTTCTATTTATAATAAACAGTAATAACTACATTTACTGGCCTGAATGTCCAAGAAATTTCATAAAAATTATTTGTTCTCTGACAGGAATCAAAACTTTATCCTACACAGAACAGTTATATAGCCTGACATGCTATACCATTTAACTACAAAGGAAGTGTCTGGTTAGCAAAGTCAAAAAAGAAAAATCATGAGAAATTTGTTATTTAAAAACAGTAATTTGATTTTGCTAACCATACATGTAAATAATGTCAATGTTCCTTATTTTTTTAATTTTTAAAAATCATTTCGCTCCAAGCAAAGCAATAAAGCCACTAAGAAACAAGGGGTTACTGACTGTGAAAGAATCTGGTGGAAAAAAACAATGAGAGAGGGCAATAAAAAAAAAAAAAAAAAAAAAAAAAAAACATGAATTAAGACCAAAAATAATGATTGACATTGCATTTAAATTTTTGAAGATCAAAGTTGACTGGAAAGCAAGAGAGTAAAGTGTTTCTACATTAAGCAAATATCATGCAAAACATTTTTATGTAGCTTAAATGGGAACAATTAAACACTTTCCTTTCTCTGCATATAAAAAAAAAAAAAATACAACTTGTTACTCATGTCAACCCACACATTTATTTAAAAAAAAAAATTAAGTTAGTACAGGTCACCCACCCATTCTCCCCTTTTAGAAATGGTATAAAGTGAAGAGGTAGTTATCATTAATTTATGTGAATGATTTTTGAGCATTCCCAGACCTCAAAAAAAAAAAAAAAAAAATTACTTACATAGCCTCAGTGTCAAATGTGGAGGTTTGTCATCTACTATGGCTTGCAATATGACTGTCAGTGAGTGTTTTGACTAGTCCATTTTTATGCCATTCAAATATCCTGCGAAGTTTGTGCCATTTTTCAAAATTTAAGTTATACGTTTTTGCAATCCTGGTAGCATTGTTAATCATAGTGGAGGTGAATTTATTTTTGGATACTAGTAGAGATCCATATTTCATTCCTTGGAGTGACGACGATGGATTTTCTGATTAAATGTTGATATCAGGGATTTTGTGACAGTTATCATTAATTTTCACACATTTTTTTTGTTTTTTTTTTATTCATTTTTTAACAACTTTGCTAACACACAAAATAACTGTTTAAAAAGAACTCAGTTCACCTCAAGATATTTGGTTAAAGTGATATTTCCTGGACAATGTAACACTCAAGTGGAGATGCATTATCTGTGATAAAATTTTGGATTCTTTGCAAGTAAAGCTTGTTAACCATAATGTCAATCTTCTGCTGGGACTCTGGATATTTTTTCTTTTTCAATAATGTTCACCCTGTACAAGGCTCATGAGCCACTCAAGATAGAGGGTTACAGAGTAAGAGGTAAGGAGCACAGTTTATGAGGATGTATGGGGGAGGACTTTAGTTTTTGCAGTCTGCAATTTGTGAAAAATGAGCAAGCCACCTCCTGTTTAATATAAAATTATGCATGTAAGTTGTAAATCCATTCTTTGATATACTGATTGCTGTCAATATTGTGCAATCATAAAGAATTTAAAATTGGGTTTTTCGTTCCTTCTAAAATCTGCTTCAACTCTGTATTCCTTACATCTGTGCTTCAAATCTGAAATTTTATTCACTATTTCATTATATTTTATTTTTGTCTCCTCCACAAACAGGAGTAGATAGGTTTGCTTATTGTCTGGTTCACACTTCTTAATCTTTTGAACCTTCTTTCCTGTTTAGGATTGGTTTTCCAGTTCCTTCTAAAGACTGCTTCAATTCTCTACTTCAAATGCTTGTTCTTTCCTATCTTAATATAAATCTGCACAGTAACCCTCTACCTTGAGTGGCTGTTGGGCCTTGTATTGGGTGAACATTAGTAAAGAAAAAAATTGTTGAAATTCCTAATGTGTAGATTTATTCTGATTTTTAATCAAGCAATGAACAAAACTAGCAACATCCATGAACATTTTTCTGTTTTCCTATTTGTATCTTTGGATGAATCTTAATTTTTAACTTAATGATTGAATTAGCTTCTTGCAAGTTCCATGACTATAAAATTCCCATGGAAATTTCCCTACCAAATATTTGAGCTGAACAACTTTAATAAAATATTACAATAACAATCATAAATAGGATTGCATGTCATTATTTAAAGATGTAAGAGGGTACAAATGAAAGGATTAATTTGTTTTTCCATTTCACTGAAGCAGCTGTTAACCATATGAGTTATCACCTATCTTCCCTTTCTTTTCCTAAAACCAAACAACTCCTTTGATGTATCTTTTCTGTTTCGTGGGTAAGGGACAAACCTGCTATCACAGGTCTATCCTGTACTCAAACAGGAATGGTCTATTGTTTATCTGAAGTAATGGCATGTTCTAACTGACTAAAGAAGCAGAATTATAATGATGTATTTGCATCTTTAAAGAAGAGAAGTAAAATATACAGCAAGCTAAGGGTTTTCAGTTTCAATTTGG